GGTAAGTTTGAGCTTTTAAAACCACAACAGTGACCTGAAATCTGCTTGACTAGCTTCAAAACACAGTTTTTCACAAAAGCTGCGGCCATTAATGAGTTAATGTTTACTTGACAATACCAGTTTCTTTCTCTGATCAAAATTTCTCAGCAAGAGCATCTCGAACAGGGAAACCTTGATAGCAAGTGTGTATGATCTTCTCACATTCTCTCATTTGCAGCAGTTCCCTTACCTTCCCCCTACTGCATCTATCATTGGTGATTGGATCAATTGTCAAGTCCAATTTTCTTGGCAACCTATCTCCAAGATCAATACAAATGTTGTGAAGTACCAAACATGCAAGGCCTGCTATTTTTAGTTCACTTGTGTTACTTTCACATTTCCTCAGCAGTATGCGCCATCTGCCCTTGAGTTGCCCAAAGGCCCCTTCAGTGACCATCCTTGCCCGACTCAGTCTGTAATTAAAGTTGTACTGTTTTGGTGTTGGGACTGCATTTGTGTATGGCTCCATAAGCCAAGAGGATAAAGGAAAAGCAGAATCCCTAAGTACAACTGGAGGTACTTGTACTCCATTGACATCCTTACTTATTTGAGGAATAAAGTTGCCTTCTTTTATATCTGAGTAAAACTTTGTTGACTGAAATACTACAGCGTCATGAGAATTTCCTGGAAAACCACAGGTTCCCCAAACAAATCTGTAATTGGAGTCCACCATTGCCATTAACACTATTGAATAGAAGTTTTTGAAGTTGTGGTATTCCTTACAAGAAAAATTCCCTAGTGGGCATTTGATTGGTAAATGGCATCCATCAACTGCAGCCCAACAAGAACAAAATTGCCACTGTTCCTCCATATCAATTATCTTTCTCTTAAATTGTTCCTCATTCTTTGGCAGTTGCTGGCCAACACATTCGTCCCACAAGTTGTCCACAATTGCTCGTGACTTTATTGACGATCGTACACATGGTTGACACCCCCAGTCCTGTCATTTCCACTGTCATATAATAGTAATCTCCCCATGATAAGCGATACAGAGCAATGGCCAACCTGAATTCTGGCATATTGGCTCTTCAGTCTCAGTATCTCTATCTAGATCATGTCTGATTCATTGCAATATAAACTGGAATGTTGCACGTGAGATCCTAAACATTTTCTTGAATCGTTCATCGGAATACCTGCTCCAAACCAGGTTAAACCATCCCATATTTCTTGGGAGCCTCCTGCATCTGCATGAACAATTGTAGACTGGTGTTGCACTTTTTCGTGACACACTTAACAGCAGACCAATGACACATATATTCATCATAAATTGCCTTCTTGCAATGATAGCCTGTAAGAAACTTCATAACATTTTTCTCCGTTTCCTCCCCTCCAGAATGGCACGAAAAACAAAAGCTCTTCGCAGACCACTTCCTTCTGGAATGTCCACCATATTTGTTTGGGTATTTTAAAACCGCTGACTGACAACTTACTATTGTGGAGCTTGTAAATTAAGTACGACAAATTAAGTTCAACGTCTGAATCAATCGTCAAACCTAATCATTTGGGTCGACCCAAACAGACATTAAGTTCGGCTCATGAAAAGTTCGACATTTGAACTGGGCCTCAATGACTCTTTTGTGCAGACACATGCACTTAGATGCTTACCGCTTCATGAGCCATTTCCCTTTCAAATCAAGTTATTAATAGGAGAGTACAGTGGAACCTTGATTTAACTAACCTCTATATAACAAAGTCCTCAGTATAAAGAATGATACTTTTCAGGCTGGCTAAAGTTATTATAGTAAAATGAATGAGACAGAACCTCAATATAACGAACTTCAATGTAACGAAATCCTTGTTAGAACAAACATAATCCAGAAGCCTGCATGTATAGAAATACCTCGATATAACGAACAAATGTCAACACATGACAAAAGACACATGCGAAACAGACCAACAACAATCAAAATCCAATAGAGCAACTTCACAGTTAACAGCTCATTATGAAATCAATGCTGACACTGACACTATTGACATGTACATCTACAGATCGGCCTTATCTTCTTTGTCTCGTATTAGTGCTATTAACTTCTTTATTTTTGATGACTTCGTGTGGTAAAAGGTGTAAGTGGCAGGAATTTTCAGTCCAATGCCTTTGTTTCTCTGTTTGCCAGTGACTTCCACTGAAATTTGTCCACTGTGATTTAAAAACAAGTGAAACACATGTGAAAGTTTAGGAGTTTCATAATGTTTAGGAGTTTTTATAATGTCTAGGAGTTTCAGCCTCTCTCTGAAGAGGCTGTAAGGAAGTTGGCTGTGGCTTCTATGGAGACATGTACTCTGGACCCTCTTCCTTCATCGATCTTGTTGGGTTGCATAGAGGAGTTACTTCCAGTGATAAGTAGGATGGTGAATGCATCACTGGAGAAAGGCTACTTTGCAGATGACTGGAAAAGGGCAGTAGTGCATCCTTTGCTAAAAAAATCTGGTCTTCAATTGATAAACAAGAACTTTCGGCCTGTGAGTAATTTACAGTTCACGTCCAAACTCGCAGAGAAAGCGGTTGCAGTTCAACTACAAGAGCACATGCTAGTCAATGGCTTGTTTCCAGAGTTGCAAAGTGCTTACTGCCAACATCATAGCATGGAAACCACACTACTTAAGGTGAAGAACGATCTCCTAATGGTGATGGATAAAGGTCAAGTTACGCTGCCGGTGCTTCTCGACCTAAGCTCTGCATTCGACACCGTTGAAGAAGAGATCCTTCTGGAATGATCGAGGTCAACAATTGGATTGCGGGGGAAAGTACTTTCATGATTCGAGAGTTACCTTAAGGGCAGATCACAGCAAGGGTCTATCAACGGAACTCTGTCAAAGCCTTTTGATCTGAAGTGTGGAGTTCCTCAAGGGTCGTGCCTTGGCCCGCTTTTATTTACCACCTATGCGAGTAAGCTGTTCCAGATTCTTAAACAGCATCTGCCCTCCGTCCATACTTATGCTGACGATACACAGTTGTATTTGTCTTTTAAGTCCTCCACCTCTTCCAGTGAAGTGGATGCTGAATCAGCCATGCAAAAGTGCATCTGTGATGTCTGAGCATGTATGAGGGAGGATCAGGAGATGCTCAATGATGACAAGACTGAGTTCTTGATTATAGGTACACGTCAGCAGCTCTCAAAAGTTTCAATCGAAAGCATCAAGATTGGGCAGACTGAAGTTTCTCCTGTAGCCTCTG